TCCAACCAACTGAGCCATCTAGGCACCCCAAGCACTTTCTTAAAATAGTTGATTAACTGACTCTGGAGTCAATTTGTCTGAGTTTGTATTTCTGCCATTCATAAGCTGTGTGTCTTTGGGAAAGTCATGCATCCTTTCTATAGGTCACTTTCCTCATCTATAAAATGGAGCTAATAATAGTACTTACTTGTGTTAGTTGCCTAGGGCCACCAAAACCAACCACCACAGACTTGGTGACTAACAACCATAGGAACTTATTCATCATAGTTTTGGAGACCAGAGTCCAAAACCAAGGTGTCCACAGAGCCATACTCCCTACAAAGTCTCTAGTGGGTTATTTTTCCTTGTGTCTTCTGGCTTCCAGTGGCTCATGGCATTATCTTGTGTCAACTTAACTCCAATCTCTTCTTTTTTTTTTTTTTTTTTTGAGATATAGTTGTCATATAACATTATATTAGTTTGAGGTGTACAACATCATGACTTGATATTTATGTATCTTTTCTTTTTCCAAAGACACCAGTCATTATATTTAGGGTGCATTTTAATCCAATCATCTTAGCTAATTATATCTGCAAAGATCCTATGTCCAAATAATGTCATGTTCTGAGGTTCCAAGTGGACATGAATTTTGGGAAGACACTATTCAACTCACTATACTTCTTCATGGAAATATTATAAGGACTAAGTTAACATGAGGACACATGGAATTAATACTACATTAAGTGACTAATATAATGAAGTTATTATAAGACACTTATAATAGTGTCTAGTATATAGTCAGAGGTATGAAGTATTAGTTGATTACTGAGATTGGCACTTGGGAAATGCTTATTCATTTTAATCACTGCTTTCTGATTAATAATATCAATATTCCAGTGTCAGTGGAAATGCTGTTATTATATGAATTCCTAATAATGCTTGACTCTATCCTTGAAGCTATTTCCTTGAAAAGCATACATGGTTCATATTTCTTTCCTGTCTAGTAAAATGATTAAGTAGACAAGACATGAAAGGGTGATGAAAGATATTATCATTTTCTAGATTCTTCCTTCAGATTTTGATCATCTATGGGAAAAAAATGCAGACCAATCTGCTTATAATCATTTTGTGCCAACAGACTCCTTAGGCAGTGACCTCCTCTGTAGGACTTTCCATGTGGCAGAGCTCAGCTTCTCGTGAGACCTGATTTCCTTCCATAGTGCTGTGTCTACAACTGGCTTTAAGAGGCATTGTTTTGATAGAACATTTAAGATTAAAAAACAGGCTGTAGCCTTGGTTAAGAGTAACTCCTATGTTTCTAATGAAATGACAGCTAAGAATTGCAATATATGCATTGATATTGAGCCAAATACAAAATCTTATATTTTTTAGCATTAAAGAAATGGCACTGTATACATACTATAGATAGAATTTGAAAAAAAAATAGTGAAGAATCCATTATTTACCCTGCCACTTAAGCAACATGATTCTGGAAAGTTTATGAGTGAGGTGAGAGCAAGAAAGTCTTCATTTGTGCCGTTCTGTTTCTTTCACTGCCCTGCAGCCAGGTGTCGGCACAACCAGCGCACCATCGGTATCCAACAAATATTTGTGGAAGGAAGAGGTAGCTGTGTTCTTGCAAGTGGCTGAGAATAAAAGGAGGATCTTCTTAGATTCTTTTTCTGTAGGCATGAATAACTTCACCTCCTAAATTGTCATTCTTCTTCAAGGCAAATGTCATTTTCTTCCCCTTCCTGCTTTCACTTTGTATTTTCCTCCCTCTTTCCCCCCATACATTTTCCTTAGAGTATAAAGTGGCTGATTGTTATGTATTAGTGCGTTAAGGATGCCTGTATGTAACAGAGGGCTGAGGAAAGTGAAGAAAATTATTTTTGTTTTTTCTCCTGTTCTTAAAGTTCTCAGATGATAAATTAGCTACCTCAGAATTATCTGCTGCCAAGGTCACCGGGTGGAATAGATATTATGAAGGTATCCCAGAAAACCCTTTATCATTGGAGTAGGTGTTCTTAAACATGAATCCACAAGTAGGCTTGGCAGTCCTGAACCACATGAAATTAGTGGCAGATATATGTGTGTAAATGCAGATTTGCCGTGTGCATTTCATACATGTGCAATTGTTGAAGGAAAAGAACTTATTCATAACTTTTGTTAATCTCAAAATAATCTGACTCCAAATAGGTCAAGAACCACTGAATGAGAAAATTTGGGTTTTATTGTTTGTGTTTTGCTCTACTTTAGAGAGTCTGGTGGAAAAATTCTGAGAGGAAAATCAACGGTATGAATTGCCAGACTTTTCAGATGTAGGATAATGACGAGGCTTTCCTTGAATCATGATACCTCTTTTTGAACTGTTTAGCAGCTGTTTTTATGCACCGCGAGTCAGAATGGGGGATGCTTTACTCACGCATCAGGTTGTTATCTCTGGAAGTTGAAATATCCCGGCAAACTGATGTCATTTGTTCCCAGATCGGCATCAGAGCCCTTCTGGGCAAATTCACTGATAAGTCATCGAGCAGGCACAAAAAGATGATGTTTTACGGTACAATGAGCCATCCTTGCATAGCTAATTTGTAACTGAACTTTAAACCAGACCAAAAAAAAAAAAAAAAACAAGAGCAAAAACAAAACGACAAACCAACCATCTCAAAGTAGCAAGCCTCCTTAAAATAATATTTTATTTTTCTTGAAATTCCTGGAAACTTTGGTTTGTCCTTTGTCTTATTTGAAGCTGTATCTCTTGTCCTCTTCTTACTTAGCCCTCTGCTCTGATTAAATGATTTGCATGCTTGACTCAAATCCCAATTTTATTTTAGCAATAGCTGCATGTGTTCCCAGATACCCAACTCAATGGCTTCGTTTATCATCTCTGGCAGTCAGCTTGGTATTCTATCTAGTAGGTTCTCCATTTAAATAGCTGCTATTGTTGCAAAGCAAACTTCCTGTATTGTTGCAGGCAATATTTTAATTAATACAGTTACTTCCATACAATTTGCTTATTGACTCATTCATTCATTCACAAAACATCTATAGGCATCTGCTCTGTGCCAGGATGCTTCTAATTGCAGGGGAAACAAACAAACAAAAAGAATGTTATACATAGAGTCGCTCACTTGTGGTAGGTCAAGGCGTGTGGTAACTCAGGCAGGCCAAAGATTTAAGCCTAATGATGCCTACAATCTGTAAATAAATTGGTTTGCTCTTTATTTAAAGCAGTGGTTCTCAGCAGGGGAAATCCCTCCCTCCTCTGCTGCCAACGGAAATTTGGCAATTCAGGATACATTTTTAGTAGTCACAAATAGGGGATAGCTGGTGAAGGCCAGGGATGCTAGCAAACATCGACACCAAACAGGACCATCTCCCCATCAAAGAATTATCTGGATCAAAATGCTAGTAGGGGTGCCTGGCTGGCTCAGTTGGTGGAGCATGTCACTGTTGATCTCTGGGTTGTGAGTTTGAGCCCCACGTTGGATGTAGAGATTGCCTAAAATAAAATAAAGTCCTTTTAAAAAAATGCCAGTAGTATTGAGATTAGAAAGGCCTGATTCAAAGAAAAAAGGATACTCCTTCACTGAGAGGTGTACTGCTATCAGTGAGAAGGGTTGACATCATAGAAACGGTGGTCTCTCCTTCGAGGACCTGAGCAAGTAAAATCTTAACTAAATTGACCCACACGGGAACCAAAGATCCTTCTGAGAGATGGGATTTCCTTCAGCTCAATTACATTTCCAGGGATGAATTAGCATTCCTCAAAGATTGGCATCTTGTCTACTTTCCAGCTGCCTGCCCCTTGATCTGCTTCTGCTTGTTCTTAAGGGGCTTACAGTTTAGGGGGAAAGAAGGACAGGTATAGCCAAACCCATAAGGCTGTGTGAGAAATACCAAGAGGGCTCGATGAATTTAACGCTTTGGGAGCACTGAGCAATTGATCGCTGCCCAGGAGGTTTAGGAAGGCTTTCCAGCCTGTGAACAGGGGCTTTGAAGGTTTTCACCAAATGGGTAAAAGAAGATAATTTCCTCTCTTATTTAAACCATACCTGGTGTGATAGCAGTGATAACCAGTGGAGGAAATGTTTTTGGCTCCCCTTTCAGGAAAACCTGCTTCTGTGTTGTTCTCCAAGGAGCAGGACTCTTTACAAATTGTGCCCATCTAACTTTGAAGTCTTTTCTCTCACTGTCTTCTTTCTGTTAAAGATTTCCCTAGTAGATGGTTTGACCTCCACCATCATAGATACTAAAGTTTAGCCAAAGGACAGAGTTGTAAGCTCTTGGTGAATGAATTACAGATTTGGTTTTTGTTGTTTTTAAATTTGTATGTGTTCATTTATTTGCTCTTGCTGATGCTCCTAATAGAGTTTTCTCAGGTAGTGGCTGTAGCTTGCTCGAAAACCTGTGGAAAGTATGCTTCACAATCTGTGTAGACCTTTCTAGATGCTTTTCAAATACATTCTACGTTCCAACTGGTGGCTATGTGCTGTAGAAAAATCCAAGAGAACATCTTCCAAATTCTGTTAAACTAGTATAACAACATTACATATATTTGTGAAGCTATGAGTTGAAAAAACTGGTTATAATAGTTAACTATGGAATAGATGTTAAGTTTCTGACAAATAGAATAGTGAGATTTTCATAATGAGAACACCAGGAAGTTATGGGATTTCTCTTTTTTTTTTTCCGGGAATTGTATGTTGATTTAAGGTACCTACATCATAGGGGACATTTTCTCTTTCAGTTCAGGATGAGTTATGACATCATGGTAACTTTGTATACTTCAAACTCACTTTTCAAGAATTTGTCCTTTTCCTGATGACTTTACAAAGACCTTTTTTTTTTTCTTTTTTCTTTTTTTTTTTTTTTACAAAGACCTTTGATGGTATTTTCATGTTAGAAATAAAATAGTTCCATTTAAAATATATTTCTTTTTAGTTTGAAGTATAAGCTGAATAGTTCTAACGTATATAAGTTTAATTTTTCATCAAAATATCTTTCTTTTTTTATTTTAGTCTGATGCCAATGCAAGTTACTTAAGAGCAGCTCGAGCTGGACACCTGGAAAAGGCTCTCGACTACATAAAAAATGGGGTTGACATCAATATTTGCAATCAGGTTAGTTGTAGTTATTGTTGCCATTTAAATTTTTACTTAAAATTTTAAAAATCTGGACTATAAACTCCTTGAATCTTTCACTGGTTATTACTAAGACTCACTCTTTTTTGCTAGAGGTTTTTTTTTGGTATCATCAGCTCAGATTTTCAAATGACTCTGCTTTGTTAAAGAAGCATTCAGAAATGTAGGTAGGCATCCTTTAATAATCTCTAGAATTTAGTAAATAATGATACCAGAACAACCCACCTAATTTTCAAGTACCTTTATTCCTAATTCAAGTTTCTACACTGCACACATACAAGTGATTGTTGGTAGGATATGATCTTCAGAGTTCTGAGTAGACTGTTTGCTGCTTTATTCTCCACCTGCTGAGTAAAGCTTTCTCTTCACTCTTAATCAGAACGGGTTGAACGCTCTTCATCTTGCTTCCAAAGAAGGCCATGTGGAAGTTGTTTCTGAACTACTACAGAGAGAAGCCAATGTGGATGCAGCTACGAAGGTCAGTATCCCACATTTAATGCTTTTTATGTCACTTGACAAATCCAATGAGGTTTCAGCCCTCAATAAGAATCAAGGCAAGCTTCTCATTAGATACTTCTCAGCCATGTTCTCTTTTGGAAACTTATAAACATAGAAGGATTCCATATTTTATAAAATGTTGAAAAAGAAATAAAGAGGGTGAGTTGACATATCTTTTCATTTTACAGAAAGGAAACACAGCCTTGCATATAGCATCTTTGGCCGGGCAAGCAGAGGTAGTAAAGGTCTTGGTTACAAATGGAGCCAATGTCAATGCACAATCTCAGGTAAACCTACAATTCTGTTGCAAATAAATGTTGTTATAATTTATAAATGTTCTTTGGGTCAAGTCCTTACTTGGTTTATATGTCCTTTTATATGTGAGAGAGATTTTTAAAAAGTCACCTGTCTATGAAACTGGATCACTGGTAGTTCTAGACACAAATGTTTATGGAATAGCTGTAATGCAAAGTCTTTTACTCTTTTATTATGCTAACTCAGGTCTAGTCTCAGTACCTATTAACTTATAAAGGAAATGAGAATGCCTATAAATGAGGAAATGCTCTTAAAAGTTCATAATGTTTCAGGGCTTTATCAGGTTGAAAAAGGGAAAACACTACTTAATTTCTGTTCCATTACTAAGGCCTCATTGTTGTTCCCTGTAACAGATTAAAAGAAAAAGAAAAAAAATAGAATAAACTTAAAAATTCCCCAAACTAAAATTTCCAGATTCTTTGTTTTGCATATATGCTAATTATTCATCCAGGAGGACCTCCTGTGTGCTCTGAGTCTTGTATGAAGTTCTAAAAAGAACACCAATAGGGATGCCTGGGTGGCTCAGCGGTTGAGTGCCTGCCTTCCACCCAGGGCATGATCCTGGAGTCCCGAGATCGAGTCCCACATCGGGCTCCCTGTATGGAGCCTGCTTCTCTCTCTCTCTCTCTCTCTCTCTCTGTTTCTCTCTCTCTCTCATGAATAAATAAATAAAATCTTTAAATAAATAAATAAATAAATAGAACACCAATAGATCATCACTTGGTAGACTTTTAGTCTAAAATAATTTACTTTAAAATAGGTCTAAAAATAAGCTCTCATAATCTGAATCTTTTATTATTTCAGTCCCCACAGAAAAGAGGTTGTATTGGAAAGAAAACATCATCATAACACATAAGTATCCACTAATAACCTGACCATTTTTAAAACTGGTCCTTGCTCAAACATTCCTTCTAGCTGAATGCTTTCATCTGTTCCTGTTTGTCAGTCTGCACCCCAGGTGGGCAGGTACTGGACAAATAGATTACAGAACAAAACTGCAGGTTTTGCAAAAGACACAGGATCACTTGAAGTTAGGGAGATGGGGTTGGAAAACCCTGGGTGCACAAGTATGCTGGGGGTTGTGGTTTTCTAGCAATGTGTGAAGAATTAGGATGATTTTCTGATTAAGTGTTTCAAGTGAGAACAATTTGAAAATCAAATGATTAAATAACCAAGAAAAATTAGGTGAGGACTGTGGTTTGAAAATACATTTGCAGAAAGGCTATCTTCTTACTTATGCTGTGAAAAAAAAAATGAAGGACATCAAGCCATCATATAATTTTCTGGAAAAATTATGTTTTTCTTCCACAGAAATACTATTTGGTTTAGTCTTTGTTCATTGTGAGAACCCGTACTTGATTTTCAGTTATAACCAATGTTTTGTTAACTCATAAACTTGGTTTTACAGTTTCTAGTTTTGTCTTTTGGAATAGAGTCTCCATCTAATTTTTTTCGTTATTTACTATGGCTTTTTTTTTTTTTTAAAGATTTTATTTTTTCATGAGAAATACAGAGAGAGAGGCAGAGACACAGGCAGGGGAGAAGCAGGCTCCATGCAGGGAGCCTGACATGGGACTCGATCCCGGGTCTCCAGGATCACGCCCTGGGCTGAACGCGGCGCTAAACCGCTGAGCCACCCGGGCTGCCCTACTATGGCTTTTTTTGGTTTCCATTTTAAGTGTACCCGATATCCTCAGCCATCTTCAGTACTGATTATCTGTGGATAACAGGGGTCTTTTATATTTTATGGGTCCACAAAATTGCAATGATTCCTCCATGGCTACTCCAGCCATAGCAGCTTGACTCTGATGCTGTTAAATATCAGTGTCATGGAGAGGCAAATGCACAGCACTTCCAAAAGTGTGATCTCTTGTGTATCTGGTCTGATTCTTTACTACTTCCTTGTGGTTGGGCCTTTAATATATGGTCTGTGCCACTTATGCTGATTCCCTATGAGTATTTAGTTGGAGTAATAATGCTTTTCCAGAAGGAAAGGCTATAAGATGGAATATTGACAGGTATAGTACTTGAGAGGGATACTGACCAACTGACCATAAGCAAAGGATCAGGCTTTTAAAACATTTTTTCAAATGTCCCTATAACTTTATACTGGAAAATAACTAGTGTTAAGCTCTGAGAGAGTGGAAGAACTCTTTAACCTATTTTCATTTCCTTTATCCCCCCAAGGGAGAAGAAATAAAACCTTTTTTTTAAACATTTCACACATTCCTGACTGATGTTTAGAGCAGCCATAGTTTTAAACCTCTTTGACAGTGTCAGAGAGATTCTGCAATTGAAATCAAATCCTGACCAGATTTGATTTCAATTTAGACACATTCCCTGGTGATGAGGAAGTGATGGAGAAAAATATGGGCTGTGGAATTCCCTGCCCCTTGCAGCTGTATTTGGCAAGCCCTGCCCCATAGTTCGCAGTGGAGCATGCCCCCTTCATCTGGACACCTGCCCCCATGGGCCGTCTGAACTGCATCATTTTGTGGACAGAATAAGTAATAAGATGGCCACGGAGCAGATGATAATGATAATTCCTAGTAGTAGGTTTTCAATAGGAACTCTTACAAAGAACAACAAGCAATAATGCCATGGAATAGATTAAATTCCATTTAGGTGTCAGCACATAAAACATCACAGGAATATAAATATTCAAGAAAGACAGCATCCCTAAATAAATGACATTTTTATCAAGTAGGTAATATTTAATAGCCAACAAGAAATAGTGTGAAGAGAATCCTTCACCTTCCTTATATAAAAAAACTCTCCTTCTATTGAAAATAAAAATTAAATTGGATAATATCAAGTTCTGATCTTGTAAACTGAAGGTCTGTAAGCTAAGAATTTTTAGATATTACTTTAAATTAATTTTTGTCATTGTCTTGATCTTATGTCTTAATAAGTTAGTTAACTCTTTCTTATATTACTTAACATTCCAGAAATGATTTAGGCCTACCCTGAGAAAGAAATTGGGTTGGATAATTAAATTGTGATTATAAAGAACTCTGCCATGATTAAGTCCTTCATACTTTGTACTAAATACAGCAACAAGGATTACTAGTGTTTGCAATTGGAAAATCTCAAAGTGCCACATCGAACGACATACCTCGGTCTTTTCTCCTTCTCTGTCTTTATTCTGTCATATAGGCACAAACTGTGTTTATAAAGAAGCAAAATATGTTTTAGATAATATTTTACCATAACTATCAAACTATTTTTTTTTTATTTATGACAGTCAGAGAGAGAGAGAGAGAGGCAGAGACACAGTCAGAGGGAGAAGCAGGCTCCATGCATCGGGAGCCCGATACGGGATTCGATCACGGGTCTCCAGGATCGCGCCCCGGGCCAAAGACAGGCACCAAACCACTGCGCCACCCAGGGATCCCACTATCAAACTATTTTAAGTGGACAAATTTTCATAGCAGTATTAACAAAGAGGAGACCTTTGGGGGTTGTTTTCTTAAATTTTTATTTTTTATTTTTTATTTATTTATTTATTTTTTTTTAAAGATTTTTATTTATTTATTCATAGAGACACACACAGAGAGAGAGAGAGGGAGAGAGAGAGAGAGGCAGAGACACAGGCAGAGGGAGAAGCAGGCCTCATGCAGGGAGCCCGACGTGGGACTCGATCCCGGGTCTCCAGGATCACACCCCAGGCTGCAGGCGGCACTAAACCGCTGCGCCACAGGGGCTGCCCTGTTTTCTTAAATTTTTATATCGTATTTATTTAAGTTCTGAATACATTCACATGGTTCTACCATAAAAATGCATGGAAAGACAAAATGAAGGTCTTCCTCCCACTCTTGACCCCCATCTGCCCAGTCCCCACCCATCTCCACCCAGGGGTGAAACAGGTAACTTCTGATACTGGGTTTCTATGGATCCTTTTCAGAAAGAACAAGATCCTTTGATTAAACCCGTGCCTCCTTGGTCTTTCTGTATTTTTAAATGTTTTCTATGGTGGGGAGGTCAGGTCTTGATGAAGTCAGAAAATAGGTATGATAGAGTCTCCCTGACCTTGACCTTATAGCACACCTGTAATCTAACCAATGTTCACAAAAATCAGTATCAGATATAAATCAGTGCCCTTGCCAAATCTACCACCTTGCCCTTACTTGCTCCTCATAATTCAGAGGAGTATTTCATGATGTACACAGGCTGACTGTAGGAACATAGGATGGATAAGAAAAGTTCATGGATGAAATGTAAGCCCTTACTTAAATGGAATAATAAAAGGACTTTATTTTGGTGGATATTGGACAGCATGCTTCAGTCTGATCTATAAAACTGTAGGTCTGCATATTTTCATGCTTTCGATTGCACCACAATAAATGTCCCGAGCAGAAAGTGTTGAAGATAATGGAAAAAAAAAAAAATCAGGTATCAAAGAACATACTTTCTCAATCTTGAGCAGTTCCGCCTTTTGAAAATTGAGTCCAGGGATCCCTGGGTGGCGCAGCGGTTTGGCGCCTGCCTTTGGCCCAGGGCGCGATCCTGGAGACCCGGGATCGAGTCCCACGTCGGGCTCCCGGTGCATGGAGCCTGCTTCTCCCTCTGCCTATGTCTCTGCGCCTCTCTCTCTCTATCATAAATAAAAATTAAAAAAAAAAAAAAGAAAATTGAGTCCATTGTTGATAGAGGGGAAAAAAAAGTAAATTGGTCACCCATATGTTACATTTTGGCCAGCTCTTTGTTTTGGAAATTTCCTAAGTTAGGAAATTAATTAAAAAAAAAAAAAGCAGTGGTGTACTTTTTTTTTTTCTTAGAAAAATAACATTCTTTCTGAAATCTAACCATTCTTCTAATCCAGGTACTATTTTACAAAAAATCATTTCAGCTGTAGGTTGTCCAGTGACAACACATTGAATCATTTGTGCCTTAAGCTTCTTTGTACCAGAGAGTAATAGTAATATTTTTATTCAGTCTTTCCAAAGAATGCTTATAATTACTCCCTAGAAACATAACTAAATAGTGTACATGTGTTCTCATGCCCCTGTTGATCGTTTCTTGATAGGTGAGATTTGTATTAATTGGTGTTATTGGGATTAAAACAATAGAAACTAACTTGAGTGAAAAAGAAAATTTATTGTAATTACATGGAGAACACATAGAATAGGGAGTGAAAGACGCTTTTTGGAAACCTTTGGAAATTAGATAGTCGGGCTAAGAGTAACCAGAAGCTAAGTGGTAAAGTTGCCCTTCAATGTGGTCTCTCCAGATCATTTGAAGGTGGAGAGGCAGGGATTTGCCAGAAAGCAGAATTGAGAAAGATAGAGAGTAGCCCTAGAAGAGCAAACAGAAGATCTTCTGCACATATGCCTAGCCTGTAGTTGAAAAAGAGAAGGCTAATTTGTCTCAAAGACAAGACAAGTGCTACCCACATTTCAGGGAATAGGTAGGTCCCCCAAAGAAAATAGGAGTGATATTGCCAGAAGGGGAAACAGATGCTTGGTAACCAAAACTAAAGCAAAACAAAATAAACACACAAGCCACAGAAGCACTCAAACACTCCCAAAAGGTGGAAATTTCCATTATGGAGGAAAACACCAAAAACATTTTATCACTATGAACAGCAGAAGTAAAATGAGACAATTCAATATATATCAATATATCACGCCATATATTGTGTGATTCCATTTGTCCATTTGTATGAAATGTTCAGAACAGGCAAGTCCATAGAGAGAAGGCAGATGAGTGGTTGCCAGAGGGGGCTGGGGAAGGATGAATGGGAGTGAATACCAATGGTATAGAGTTCCTTTTTGCAGTGATGAAATGTTCTGGAATTAGATAGTGGGAATGGTTGCCCAAGTTTATGAACATACTAATACCCACTAAATTGTATACTTTAGATAGGTGAGTTGTATGGTATGTGAATTATATATTAATAAAAACGTATAGGGATCCCTGGGTGGCGCAGCGGTTTGGCGCCTGCCTTTGGCCCAGGGCGCGATCCTGGAGACCCGGGATCGAATCCCACATCGGGCTCCCGGTGCATGGAGCCTGCTTCTCTCTCTGCCTGTGTCTCTGCCTTTCTCTCTCTGTGTGTGTAACTATCATAAATAAATAAAAATTAAAAAATAAATAAATAAAAACGTATAAAAATGAAAATATTTGAAAGAATGTGACCAGTCTGAAAATGGTCAGCATTCAAGTAATGCAATAGAATGGAAAGCACGAAGAAGAAGAAGAAGAAGAGGAGGAGGAGGAGGAGGAGGAGGAGGAAGAAAAGTAGTAGTAGTAGTACTAATTGTGGAAAACAATTAATTATAGGGCTCAGTCTTGCTGTGATCCTTACCTACATATTATTTTTGAGTAATTGCAGTTCCACACAGTTTACTCCTTACTGTTGTGGAAAGGGCATGTGGAATAATTTGGAAGCTCCAGGTCTGTAAGAACAGTATCCTTTAAACATCAGTACATGGCTTTAGATTATCTTCCTGGGTTATGAAATGTTTGGATCTGGAAGATAAATTTAAGAACAGCCTGCATACATTGGGCCAGAAGCCACATATTTGTAGGTAGACCAGTGCTCCTTACGTAATCTTGAACTACAGCAAAACTCTGCCCTGAAGTTGAGAGAATAATATCTCTTTTCAAAATTTTTCTTAAGAACTTTACTCCTAAAATCTGAACCTTCCATCTAGAAATTTCAGCTGAAGAAGAAAGACAAATACCCAGTAGTTCATGGAGCTATCACAAAAATCCACCCTGGTTTTTATCTTTCTCTTCTTTCTTAATATTTTCAATAGTTTTTTTTCTTTTGTTTTGGTTTTTAAAGGATATTTAACTCAACCAAGGATAAAATGCTCTTTCATTTTAGTCAAATTAGGATAACAAAAAAATAGCAACATAAAGGTAATCCTAAACTACCTTTCAGTTTCCCTCATAGCTCTGGGAAGAGTGTAAAGATGAAACACACCAGGCACATACACACGAACGGGCACACACACATGTGTACACACACATTGTGTTGCAGGTTTTCTATGTTTCATATTTAATGTTGATAAAACCATTCATGATAGAACGGAGTAACAATGATGTTAGTAGCTAGATAATTTAAAGGAAAGAAGCTCGAATGCTGTGTCATATTCTACTGCCTCTAAATTTGTCTCTAATTTTGAGCTTGGCAACTAGATAACCTAGCTTGTTACAACTATGTGTAAAATGGAATAAGTAGAATAGAGGAACTCTCTGATGAATAAAGTATATACACTATGGTAGGTTTGTTACATGACATCACTTTTATCAGCACAAGAATCTTTTTAACTTACTTTTAAATTCTCAGCTAAAAGCCAAAAAAGTGATGTCACCAGAGGCTGAATTATAGATAAGTAAGGTAATCATATAGTAAGTGACGTTTATAATGGTGACCTAAACCTTTTGAATCACAAAAGTTTGAATAATATTTGGTACATTTTATTTAGAATATATTACTTTTATTCTTTGCAATTGCATAATGTACACAATAAACATTTTTAAATATTCAGTTAAATAGAACTGTATTCTGAAAAATTTATTCAAAGAAAATTTGTTATAGTTTGAAAAATATCTGTTTTGATGCATACATTTTGCAATAAGATTTTAAAATATTACATTGACAGCATATGAAAATATTTCATAGATGTGAAATAAATTATTCTAGAGGGCAACCATTCTAGAGGGCAACCATGCATATACAACATATTTTAATAAAAAGCTTAAGATGCAGTGTATACATTCATGTACTTGAATCCAGGTTCTTTGGCAGATGGCCACATTTCAGACAAACATAAATATACACACATAGAGGATGTGTGCACATGTATATGTACATGTATGTATGTGTGTGTGCGTGTGTGTATTCTGAACATGAAAATCCATGTCTTTGCAAAAAAGAATGCAAGGCAGGAAACTTACAAAAAATAAACTACTAATTAAATTTTGTTTTGAAATTGAAGTATATATCCTTTTGCATACTGGTGTTCTTTCCTTTGTTTCAAGTTGCCTCACCTGTGGCAAGTTTGAAGCTATTTGAAATTAATAGAAACCCTTCCAAATTGGGAATTATTTTAGACGCTTAATTTTATGTGAAAGTATTGGACCTTTTATTTAAAAGAGATAATCTTTGAGTGGGAAAAAAACTCATTGGGAAAATGACCAAATGTGTTTTTCTTCATATCCTTATGTCATCTAAGAAAATCCTTTACTCATGGTAGGCACTCAATAAGAGGCTGATGATTAAATAAATGTACTTATTTATCTAAAGTGTATCTGTTGGTGTGAATTATACACTATTAACTATGAACTGCATTCAAGTTATAAATTATAAACTCTAATTTTGAATTACACTATTCTTAATCTGTCATGCTTAGGCTCTCTAATAAATATGAATATCTATATTAAAGCATTATTAAAATTATTATGCATGAACATCTTCTGGAACATATCATATCAGTAAAGTGGAAAACTACAATGGCCCTATAATAAAGCCACAGACAAACATTTTACTTCTTCTTTTGCAGAATGGTTTCACGCCATTGTATATGGCAGCCCAGGAAAACCACCTGGAAGTTGTCAAGTTTCTTCTTGACAATGGTGCAAGCCAGAGCCTAGCCACAGAGGTAAGATATGTTGGTTCTTTCTGTGGGTGAGTTTACATGTTTACAGGCCATTTTGTAAGCCTGGACTTGTAACATGGAGAATCTGTCCCACTAGAGTTTTAGTTAGTCATATACAAATGTGAGGATTCTTCAATGTTTATGAAATACACTAGAAAGTCTGTTATCAATCTTTAAAAAATCTTCCATTGCATAGATACCCTTTCTGCTCTTAAATGCCTGGCTCTACCTTATAATTGAGCTATTTGTTTAATATCTACATATTTGTTTTAGAACATTTTTCTGTTTCTTATAATTTTGCCTCAAAAGCAACCACTTCTTTGAAATATGTTTGTAGTAAGATAAGTTTGAAATCTGTTTTTTCTAAATACAAGTTAGTATAATTATAATCACTGAATTTATGTATTTCTTAAGTTAACTAGATTTAATGCACACTTTTCAGCAAAGCTATTATATGTTTTTAAGTGTTAGGTAAACATAGTAGTGAAGAAAATTTTGTATCCTTGAATCTCAGAGGAGTTATTTTAAAATAAAAACTTACTTAAGTCATTGGGGCTGTTTTAAGTAATACAGTTTATTTTTTAAACTAAACTTAGTGGAAGATTGTGTTCCTTGTGAAGTATATCACTAGAAATCTATTGCTAATATTAAAAGATCAACATTTAAATATTCTCTATTCCTAACAAAACAATGAAAACAGATGCAGGATTATTCCTGTCATAATACTGCTTCTCTTATATTCTGACATGTTTTCCAAATGGCAAAGAAAGATTGCAATAGAGGAATTGCATATAACCTCACCCTGCTTTGAGATCGTGCCTTTTGGGGAAACCACTAAATAAATGAAGAGGCAGTTCACACAAAAAGAAATACAAATGACCATAAATGTATGAAAATATCACATCCTCACTCATAGTCAAAGAAATATTAATTTATTAATCAGTTCAAAAATGAGATCCAGTCTTTCACCAAGGGGATGAGGAACATAATTTGAAGAGTAGAAGAAACTGGAACTTTCCTACACTGTTGGTAAAGTTGATCATTGGTTGCAACCCTTTTTGCAGAACATTTAGCAGTAACTGTCTAAGTTAGAATTCATGTAACTTTTTACTTAACAATTCTGCTTCTAGGAATTTACATCATAGATGTATTAGAGGGGAATACAAAAACGGTATGTGAGAAGTTCATCAGCAGAATTAGTATGAACATTTTTTAAAAACTGGAACGAACCTAAATATGTACCAGTAGGAAACCTGTTTAATAATATTATAATACATAATAAAATGCTATTCAGCATTATCAAAAATGAGGCAAGCCTATACTTACCAATAGAAGAAAATGTCCATAGTATTCTCAGAGGTTTATTTTGAGCCGTGGGAGGCAGATTCACTTTTCACTTTATACCCTTCCATACTGTTGAAGATTTTTATCATGGGAATGTATTGTTTTTATAATGATATTCTTAAAGGTAGGTAAAAAAATAACTACTGGCTGCTAAGAAAAGACCATACATTTGGTAGGCACAGAGCAATGCCTACTTGTTGGATAAGAGAAAAATAAATTCCCATTTTTGGATGGAAATACTAAATAATATAAATATCCTAATGAAAGTTATTTCATAGTACTTTCTTTGCCTATGAAGGACAGGTAGTATTCTTTTAGACTGTGATGAATAGATCACTAAGTATCTCTACTTTAGAAGCAAATGTAAGTTGAACTTACTGCTAAGTGTTTGGCATGATTCTGGTTTTTAAAACCTCTTCTGTATTAACAGTGTACTGGATATCCAATTTTTTCCAGATAGATAGATAGATATATAGATAGATAGATAGATTAATTCCTTTTTTTTACTAGTTAAGATTCTGAATCATGAGGTAAATGTATTTGTTCATTGACCCCACAAGTAATTATTAGGCACCCATTATGTGCCAGATACTTCACAAGGCAGAGAAGGTTTCCATGGAGCTTCTATCATGTTTCCTTTTGGCTTGTATTTTTCTTCTTTAAAAAAATATGTATTTTTAAGAGAGCACACAAGTGGGGATGGGGGCAGAGGGAGAAGGAGAAAATCTCAAGCAGTCTCATCACAGAGCACAGTGCTTGCTGGGAGGCTCCATCTCACAATCCTGAGATTATGCCTGAGCCAAAATCAAGAGTTGGCTGCTTAACCAATTTGAGCCACCCAGGTGCCCCATGTATTTTGTTGTTGTTGTTTAAGAATAACTGCACAGAGTGAACCAAACCATTTAAACTAGGTTTGGAACCAAAATCTGGAGTTGCTAATTTTAGCTATTGACACCTTAGAGCTGGTATCTTACTGTCTTTAATTGGCTTATTGCAGGAAGCACATTCTTATGGGTGCTGATGGTCTCTGCTGCAGTTTATTTTCTGGTGCAAAGGAGTTTCCTTTATGTATAGGCCCTACAGGTTTAAAATTTCATATTAGCAGAAAATACAGCCATTTAGTTTTGATTCAGAACCAGAAGCCGGCTATCCTTTTTACCCCTTAGATTTTGTCCAGGTTTTACAAGTGAGTTGCCACATTCACTTTTAATACACAATTTTCCTTCTACCATTCTATCCTTTAAGAAATGTCCTTTCCTTTTCTTTTGCAAAAGTAATAGATTACATCAATGAGAAACTACGGTAAAAAGCAAAAAGAAGGGAAAGCCACTGGTAACTTTCCCTAGAGGTAACATTTTGTTTATTCATTAAGACCTTTTGGTATGTGTATACAACACACATATTTATCTTTATGAAAATGAGGTCATATATTTGCACAGTTATCTTTCTTTATGAAAATGAGGTCATATATTTGCACAGTTATCTTTCTTATAACATTAAATTGCATTTCTAAACTTTATCCCCTTAAGTGTAAACCCAAGATGTCTTTTTGGTCATGTCTTGGTAGTATTCAGCCTTTCTTACATCTTTCTTAAGGCTGCAGAGAAAGTCCTTCTAGCTATATTAATGATCATCCTTTTCCTCTTTGGGGTTTTCTTGGAAAAGTTGAAAGGGGGCAGATGAAAATTCAGCTGGATCTCGAAGCATGAAAAGCAGACAGAATTTATATATGTAGAGTGAGAAGGAGGACCTAGCATGAGCATAGAAGCCAGGGTAGAAGTAGTTTGCACACCGCAATTGGTAAGGACACAGCAGGAACGGATTTATATAAGAGTTTGGGCAATACTGTCCTGTAAGTGGGGCCAACATTTGCACATCCTTCAATGTAAATACACTGATGTGCATGCACTCAAATAAGTGATAGGAGCCCTTGTCTGGTTGTTCAGCAAGGAAAAGAATGATGAAGGTGGTCTTTTAGGAAGAAGAACAAGACATTAGTAAGCAAGTAATTAGCTTTTCTCTTTCTCCTGTACCGACACCCTTCCACTGGAGTAGTCCTCTATGTGTGGCACCAGGGCTACCAGTATCAAATATCAGGAACCAAGAAAATAAGTAACTTACTTGCCAGTTCTCTAATAAAAATAATTTATAACTGTTCTTCTGAGTACATGACAATAAAAGCATGGGAGAATTCAAATTTGAGCCAGTCGTAGGGTTTTTTCTTCTGTGCTGTTTATTCTACTGTCAGCAACACTGGATCTTCCACAAATTACCTAACCACAGTGAAATCTGTAGCTGTCTTCTCTTTGTGAAGTCCCAGGGCAGTACAATGGGACGACTCAAAACATACAGATCTGAGTGTGTATTTCAATTTGTTCTCGTCATAGTTTGCACAATCCCCATGCCTTCCCCCTTCACTGGTCAGAGAAGCCAAAGACCTTTCTTAAAACAGCAGTCACCTTGTTCATTAGTTAACATGTGCAGATTGGCCACCAGGTGTGTGCGAGGCAACGAGGCAGAGTGAGGAAGCACACAGGCTTCTCCCCTAGTTTTAAAACATCAGGTGAAATTTTTATAGCTTACTTTATTAAGAGCCTTTGAAAAATTTGCCTAGATTTAACCTGAAATATTATTGTTTACAGTACAGTTATTTTTTGGGTATTGAAATTATGGTAACTTTTTCTTCTCTATGCAGTACTTTTATGTAATTTCAGAATTTACCCAAGTAATCTATATCACGTTTTAACAGAAAAAAAAAATCATGAACTTACTATGAATTTTTTATTATTTTCTGCTTTGGTAAATATATAAATATAAATAAAAGTATTTATATACGTGTGTGTGTGTGTGTGTGTGTGTGTGTGTGTGTGTGTCTTTTCGGACACCTGTGTACCTGAATATGCTAGCTTTAACAACCCTAAACAAGAATTGGTCACTTGGTCGCATGCTTATTTGTTAATTAAAAAGAACACGTCCACTCGGGCCAGTCTTGACTCATCTGTTTATTTGCAGGATGGCTTCACACCGTTGGCAGTAGCTTTGCAACAAGGTCATGATCAAGTAGTTTCCCTCCTGCTAGAAAATGACACTAAAGGGAAAGTGCGTCTTCCAGCTCTTCACATTGCTGCCCGGAAAGACGACACGAAGGCCGCAGCCCTGCTGCTGCAGAATGACAACAATGCGGACATAGAGTCAAAGGTGAGGCACGAAGGAGGTGGGCTGCTCATGCCACTCTCCTGTTAGGCGCCCACACCGTAAGAATGCCCGGCCTCCCTCCTGGCTACGCCAAACCCTCACTTCATGGGGAGGAATAAAAACATGTCCAAGCCAGCCAACTGAAGGCACAGCCCCCTGAGCATTTCAAGCTAGGAGGTGACTACAGATCCCCCCACCAGTGCGGGCCAGCAGGGAGGCCACCCCCAAGGTCGATTGATAGGCACCTGCTAGTTTCCTCCCTTTTCACAGACATTTGGAATGTCTCTGACACTTCAGCTCACACACCAGGGTGGAAAATCACAAAGCGCTAACAACAGTGTGCACAAATAAACCTTCGGTTGGTATCTAAGATGAGAGGCAATGCACTGCGTATCAACCAGTTGTGGAGAGCATGCCGGCAGCCAGAGTCCCAGCCGAACATTCTCATTGGCCTTGACGTGTGTTCCTTGAAAGTCTCTGTGAAGGAAATGTGGCATTTGGAAAGGCCATTGTGTAGCCCTTCATTCAGTCTAGCTTTCTTTCTGTGCCTGTTGTACTCCTGTCCTAGCTTCCATCCTCATCACTTAGCTGCCATGAGCTTCCTGCCCTCCATGTCACCAAGAGCAAACTAACCGTTCATTTTTTCCTCCTCTTTGCTTCCAAATGTGTTAACCTAGATGGTGGTGAATAGAACAACAGAGGTATATATACATATATATATATAAACATGTGCATATAATCTATACCTGCATCATCATTCTCCCATTACCTAGTGCTGCTGTCTCATTTCTCTCCCTCCTTCTTTGCATCGCCTCTGTAGGCTAGATACCTGCTTTACTCCCTGCCCCCAAAAGTAGCATGTGCCAGAGAAGATAGTAGTTTGATTACCAGGGCTTTCTGCAGCTGAACCTGGTGTTGGACAGGAAGAATGAGGAATCCTTGAGAATGAAGGATATCGCCAATAGAGTTGTGTGAGATGAAGAGTTTGGGCGCTTTAGATGCTTATCAGCTCTACCTAAAGCTGCAGACAACCCTGTCATTCTACTCATCCAGGACTGATTCTTTGGAGTTCTGCATGACACTTACCCTCAGTGGTGTCAGCAAAATCAAAATTACCTCTGAATGGTACCAATATTCCCACCCCTCCCACAAGACTCAGTGAGATAGCTAGCATGGCTAAGAAGCTTGCTAACAATTTAGAAATGCATCTAGTTCCTATAAGGTTTCAATCTTTGGGGACTAAGTGAATCGCTGCATGTTTTAGCATTTTTCAAGGAAGTAAAATGACCGTGGTATGCCTAAGGTAGAAAACTGTGTTATGGAATAGGCATTTGCTAATAAAGAGACCAGCCTGTGCATTCTTTATAAAATGCAGTCACCCAGGATACAAGACCAATTATAGTTATCTCCCCCAAAATTGCTTGTATCATTAAAATTGGCATTTACTCTACATTGAATATATTAAACAAATTGAATTTTGACCAAGAGTTCCTAATGGACAATTCCATCATCGATAATGAAACAGTGGTACTAATCAAACTTTCTATAAGCTCTGGATTTTTTTTGTCATCCCTATTTTGAGTTTTTGAAATGTTGGCTTCTGTATAGTTCTGCTACTGGATTACTAAAATTATTCAGTCTGCACCCTTGGTTCCTTCCTAGCTATTCCTCTGCCTGTGAGTGTGGCGTTTATTTGAAACCCTATGAACAATTGGCACTAATTGAAAGAAACCTAGTACAGAATGGAATGTGGACCTCAGCATATTTTGCTTCCTCACTTTTATTTGGGCAGGGTTATGGTATTAACGTGTCAGACGAGGGGCTGGCAGGAGTCAATTGAATGTCTGCTATGTTTTCTTTGCAGAGTGGCTTCACTCCGCTCCACATAGCTGCTCACTATGGAAATATCAATGTAGCCACGTTGCTGTTAAACCGAGCGGCTGCTGTGGACTTCACTGCGAGGGTAAGAGCAAGGCAGTATGATCTGCCCTGAAAGCATGTGAAACAATTCTCTCTCCTTGCCCAGCATGAGGAGGGGGTTGAAACAGCTGACCTCTGAGGGTCCTACCTACTAGTCAGTGAAAGCTGTGATTTTTCTAAGTCTCCTACCGTATTTTCTGGCTTTTATACAGGTGTGCCTGTTTCCTAACAGGAAAAATAAGCCATAGTCATAGGGTGGAGAGCAGTGGAGGCAGAGGGAACATATACAAGTGGATATGTAGAAGATGTGACTCAAGGAACCATGACTGGGAAGTACAAACCCTTCCCCAAGTAGAAACTTCTGAGACTGTTAGAAATAGGTCAAATGGCACTAATAGTGCTTCAGCTAGCAGAGTCTCGACCTCGGAGATGGGAATAGGGTGGAACATCTGGATGAGACCCAAACCTCACAACTGCCAAAATAGAGACCGTCTTCTGCTTTCATTGTCTACCCTCTATGTTCTTTCCTAACAAGTAGCAAGATTATGGACCCTGGATATGTTCTCTATACCCTGTGGACCACTGGGTAGCAGCTCAGCCATCCAGAGTAGTACCACTCTGAGTGTAAACACCTGTCTGATGCTAGACCTGATCATGAGAAACCTCATCAGAAGAAGAAATGAAATGAAGCAGGATAGGGAGCAGCCCAAAAGTGTGGGCTCAGGATTCAGATCCCTTGTGTTCCAATTTTGGCTTTACATTTTCTTGGTGCCCATCTGTTTCCTCATTGATAAGATGAAACAGTGTGAATTATGAAGTTAAATAATAAAGATAAAATAATATCACCGCTCCCTCACTGGGTCACTGGGAATTAAGAGACTGCATGTAAAGCACTGAGCACAGGGCATGACACATCATCGGCAACAGTGGCATCAGCACTGGGATTTCAAATGGAGCAGGAGGAGACTGGAGAGAGACCACATCCTAGTACCAGCATTTGCCAGAGCAGTAGAAGTAATACCATCTTTGAAGCTACTCCTGCATGGCAGATGCCAGGCTAAGCATATTTATCTCATTTACTTGAATATCAAAAAAAGTGTTATTTACCCCTGTTTTAGAGAAGAGGAAACCAAAGCTTGGCAATAAGAAGTGGCTGGTCCAGGATCCCAGGCCCAGCAGATTAGGAAGGGCAGGATTTCTGCCCCAAAGCTCCAAGCTGCTCCAGTCCTGTCTCCCTCACGTGACTTTAGGTGTTCTTTCTCCCTTTTCTCTTTTAACTCATTAGTTCTATAAAAATTAATAAGAACTCCTATTGTACTAATATAAAAGCTATTTCCTGCCCTCTTTTCATCGGTTGCAGAAACCCTGTATTGGTTTCAGTGACTCAGGAGTGCCCATCAGCTCATGTCACTGCAGAGCTGTGTTCTTACTGCGTGATGTGTGTCCAGCGGAGTCAGTGACATGGCTGACCTGCAGCCCAATTTGACATTTTGAAGGATGAAGTTAAGCATCCGTCTTTCACAGGGGCATATCACTGCTAAAACTGAAGTTCTTGTCTCGACGATGCATTCTTCGGGTTTTATTTCTGTAATTCACAGTATAATGAAAACCTCATTAAGTCACATCTTCTAATTAGGACATTTGGAAAATTTATGTCAGGGTGCCGTTTGAAGTTTGTCCTCCTGCCATTGTTCAGAAACTTCCTGATGCTGCTGAAAATAAGAGATGGGGGCAATGTGTAAGGACTTTAAGAGGACAAATTACAGTATTTCCAGACTCCTTCAAGCAATTCCAAAGCATCCGTTTACATTAAGACAATGAATGTGCTAATTACAAACGAATGCTAATTCATCGATTAAAGATCAGTGGAGATTGCAGACCTGTGTTGTTACCATTGCCTGTGGTTTAAAATAATCGCACTGTGCTTTTGTTTAAAATATGCTAAAATTCAGCCTTTTTACTGATTTACAAAAGCATTTTCTCCAGTCATCCCTAATTAATGAAGCCTACCTACACTCTGAGCTGAAGGCTGTGGTTTAAATTCGATTGTACTTCGTCGGAGGCCTGTGCGGTCACTTACACCCCGATACTCTAGGCTTCCCTCCGCGGTTGGTGATTGATGACTGGCTTTAGGACGTCTGAGAAGAACTAGTCTTCATAGACAGCCTAAAGAAATCCATTTTAGCTTCCGAATCTCTAGCAATTCTATTACCCAGGAACCCAGCATATCTGCACTTTGGTGCTGGGGCCTCTTCCAGCCGGTTTCAGTTGGCTCTTTCTGTGTCACGGGTCCCTTGGGGGTGTGGCAGAAACAGCAGCTGAAAATAAGATGCCCCGGAACACAGATGGGAGCAGCTTTTACCTGGTCAGAACAATAAAGGAAGGATCATTAAGCCCTGCTTGCTAAGAACTAGCTGCAAATCATAACCATAAATCATATGTCTCAGGAACCGGGTCTGAACGAGCTGTTGATGACATGGTTAGAGGTAAATGAAAAAGCAACAGTGGCCCTTGTTTTTGGGGGCTGTGATTTCTGCTCACTGGCTGGGACAGAGTGAGGAGAAAAGCAGACAAAGCCTCGTAGTTCCCTGTGGGCTGAGGACATGACCTAGACAATGGCTACCTTTTAGCAGGGAGAGCTGGTGGATAGGAACAAGGACAGCTCTTCTGGAATCCTTTCCCACATGCGGTAGATGTGCGTTTCCAAAGCAGATATGAGGCAGAATCAAACGTGGTGTGGCTAAAGGGAGTACACAGCAGAACAGATTGCTTTCTGTGCTTCTCTGCAGGGGTAGCTAACATATGCATCAATAAAACAGATCCTCACCAATGGCGAGCATGTACCTCTGTCTTGGCAATTCTGATAACCGATTTATAGCATGCTTGCCTGTTTACTCACCTTTCCTTGATTTTTATTGTGATGTCAGTTTTGATTTTTGTATTATAATTTTGTGGTGTATATGTAAGATACCCCATGTGACATCTTTAATATTTCCTTTTGGATTATCCATGAGTGAGACTCATGTGTCCTCTGCAGGGAATTAATGGCATGGCTGTTGCACGCTTCATTGCAGCCTTTGCATTCTTCATCCCGTGAATTGAGTCTGCTGACATGGCACCTACACCGTCAGAATTTATGCCTGACCCCTGCTCTCTTAGCAAATCATTCCTCTCTCTTGGGGGAGAGAATGTAACTAAGACACACCAGAGCTGCTACTGATTATCATTCCTGTAAGGAACATTTTGCACTGGAGTAACTGAAGGCCAAATTATTGTGTGGATGCCTGCAAAGTTCCTTTATTGACTGAGATAGATTAATACTTTGCTGGCTAAGAGTTTTCTCATCAAATATAATGGACCACCCAACTTAATCTTCTCTCTGTCATTGGCTTTTCTCCTGTAAATGATTATTCAACTCCCCATTTGGAGAAGATAATTGAAGAAAACATCCTTATATTGGCCCTACTATTTAGTACTTTTTGGTTTTGATCTCTGACAGGAATTAGGGATTTCTGTGTTTGAGTGTTGTACTGCATTTGTTTCCAAAAGGATTTCAGGTGGCTTGCAGATTAAATGTATACAAATTAAGATATCTAAGGATGAAACAGAAAAAGCAAATGTTACCAAGCAGCTGGAATGAACCAGTGAATACAACTAGACAGCAAATTTAGGCCTTACAGGCTTTGATATATGTAGTGGAAGGGAAGCATGGATTATATAGTTTTCATTTTCTTGTCAAAGGAAATCTTATAGTTCTCTATAGAGACAATTTTTGTATATGTGAAGTAACTCTAATATGATTTTTATTGTGTGAATTCTTCTTTTAAGAACAGTGAGTTTGGGCAGCCTGGGTGGCTCAGGGGTTTATCACCGCCTTCAGCCCAGGGTGTGATCCTGGAGACCCAGGATTGAGTCCCATGTCAGGCTCCCTGCATGAAGCCTGCTTCTTCCTATGTCTCTCTCTCTCTCTATGTGTCTCTCATGAATAAATAAATAAGATCTTTTTTTAAAAAGGCATTAAAAAAAGAACAGTGAGTTTTATGGTTGACAATACCTTTAATGACTATATTTCAAAAGGCTCAATTCCAACTGCCCCATCCTGCCTCTTGACACTAAATCTGGCTGTGAAGGCACCTGGCCCAGAGAGGCTGAGGGATTGTGGCTCAGGTACTTAGCTTAATGAGATTCTAATTGTGTGTGATAGAACTTGGCATGCGTGTCTCAGATCACTGACTGGTTAACTTGTCTATTGGACTGCCTTTCTTAAGGTTATCAGATGTTTTGAACAAGATTTTGGCAGGTGCAGGGCCATATTCGAACTCAGTTAAGTCATATGAATGGTTACTTTTTTTTTTTTTAAGATTCTTATTTATTTATTTGAGAGAGAAAGAGAGAATGATCAATGGGGATGGACAAAGGAAGGGAGAAGCTGACTCCCTGCTTAGCAGGAAGCCCGAATTGGGGCTCAATATAAGGACCTGGAGATCATGACCTGAGCCGAAAGGCAGATGCTTAACTGACTGAGCCACCCAGGTGCCCCAAGGTCACTTTATTTTAAATAGGTGAACCGCTAAACCTGATGGTGAAAAAAACAAACATGTCAGAGTTAGAATCTGCCCACATAAGACTCAGAATGTGCATGAACAAAGCAGTGCTCATGGATAAACATTATCTGGAGATTTCCTTTCTCAATTAAATTAAGCCTCACAAACATTAAAGAGCTTCTATTATGGGCTAATCTGGAGATTCAGACTTGAGTAAACTACTGCCCTTATTCTAGTAATTTGTTTAGGTCCCAAAATGCTAAACCGTACAACACAGTCTCCTTTTAATTCCCCAAAACATGACTAATTCTAGGCTATAATACCAAATGTGACTTTCCTAAAAACATAGAGACTGATGTAAGAGGTTCAGATCAGAGAAGCAAAGCCGAGAGACTGGTTCTGGACAACACTGCCCCTAAAGTCCATAGACTATGACCCATTCCCCAGGGTAAGTCTGGGTACCACCCTCCTGAACACCCAGAAACAGAGTCTATCTTCC